GCAATGAAGAGTTCTTTGAAATCTCACACTTGCCACTATCTCTGTGGAACATCTTTTTTTTTTTTGCTTTTGTTTTTGTTTTTTTTGTTTTTTGTTTTTGCTGCCACAGCCCATGTTGCACTATATTTAAGTGTTCAGTCTTAGCTACATGGTAAGGGTTTGAAACAACTAAGAAGAAGGAGAAGGAGGAGGAGGAGGAGGAGGAGAAGAGCTGACACATTTTAGAGCTAACAGTCTAACTTTCTCAGTCAAGTGCTCAGTTGCTGTAAGGTCTGACCACCACACCGTTTGCCTGCAATTTACCCCACTTTCCTACCAATTCAAAAGCACATTTCTCTGTGTTCCTCTCTTTAATCTTAAAATAATGCTAAATCACCAGCTAATGAACCTGATAAATTAATAATAATAAATAATAATAACTAAATTATATCTTAATGTATTATTAGCAGATCTGTATGTTTCTAAGGCCTTCTCAAGGTACATTACCTCAATCCAAAGGAAGGCTCTAATGCTGAGAAGCAGTCACCATGTTAAGGCAAGAAGGGTAATATAAATTAAGAGGTTGGGCAAAGCACCCCTGAAGACACACCTAAGAGATGGCTGTGCGCTCAAAACGATCCCTGGTTGTGATGATTCGGTTCCCTCCTGTGGAATTGCTCCGCCCCAACCTCACATCTGTGGACCACTCTCTGCCCCATGGTAATTTATCTCTGTATAAGCCAGCTTCACAGTATGTCCACAACATACAACACACACTTGGTAGGTACTCAATGAATGTGTGATAAAACAAAGAAAAAAGATACAGGGGTGCGCTTCATTCTTTTTCTTTCCACAAACATCTTTAGACCATTAATTGAATATTTGTTAGGTTTTTTAAAGACCTCAGAGAAAAATATTTCACTTCCTAAATTAAGACCCCATTCCAATATTAGATGCAGGCTTTTGAAAAAGAGAAAAGACAGTTATAATAATTCTGCACTTAACTAATTAATGGCTTTTGGAAAACTTGTTCACTCAGAGTATCGAACTACAAAGTGTCCGAATGTGGTCTCTTCCTGAGGAAGAAAAGGGAACAATGCCATCCTCAGGCCCTCATCCAGAGCTCATGAACTCAAAACTTACATAAAATAAAAATATCAATTTCACAAGATTGTTCACGAGATTCCTAGAGGATAGAGGAGACATCAATAAGTATTAGCTATAAGAGAAAGCAGAAAAATGCAGAAATCATGGGTGACAGGCACACTGATTGAAACCCACCCCCTCCCTTCCACCAGTCATGTGATCAAATTCCCCTTGTCAACATTTGTTTAGAAATGACCTAATGTCATTTCAGTGTGACCTATTCCTGGCCAATGAGAAGCAAGAAGTATTCTACTGAGGGATTCTTAGGAAGGTCTCCTCTCTCTTAAGAAAGAAACAGTGAAGAGACAGTGATAGTCTTCTTTCCCTGGGCAATGTCTTGTCTGGGCGTGACATCGCTGCTACAGGGTGGGGCAAAAGTAGGTTTACAGTTGTGAGTACAGGAAACACAGAGGTTATTCTTGTATTAGTATTTATTAATTAGCATTACTTTCCATATGAACAACTGTAAACCTACTATTGCCCACCCTGTATAAAGAGGCCCGCCTGTGGGCAAAGTTAGCACACCAGGAAAGACAGTGAGGGCGCTCTATCTCTGGACTTCTTGTTTTGAGAGAAAATATTATTTCCTTACTCTTTAAACCAATTTAAGTTAAGGTTTCTGCTACTTAAGGTTTCTGCTCAAGGCATCCTAACAGTTATAGAATACCAAAAAGGAAAGAATCTCCAGGTATTAATTACATTGGAAATCTTTAAACAGTAAAATGGATATGTTGACTCAGCTTTGGTCATATTGATTTTATACTTCAAAAAAGATAGTTGTGCGATTTATCATAGTAACAGGATAAGAAGTGGTAAGGGGTCAAGTATATGCTCTTTGTACAGGTTCCTGCCAATAATCCGAAAATGAACTTATTAGATCAGAAAAGAAATTGATTCTGCATATATGAATAAAGAGCTTTTTGTACGGTACTGGCATTTTACCAATCAATCAATCCACCTCACCCATAACATGGAACTTCCACTCCTGATAAGACAGTTCATTCCACAGTCAAGAAAATGAGCTCTCTCTTTATAAAGCTTCAGAGGCAATGTGTGTATATGACAATGAGAATTTCAGTCCATGAATCTACCACTTTGCCTTAGAAAGTCATCTAAGTTTTCTGCTCTTCAGAGGAAACAAGACTATAATCTATTCAAAGAGTTTGCACTATTTTTAGCCAATTGCAGCTACCCACTTCAATCTGTTCATTCTTCAGTTTATATGAATGTTAGCATTTGCTTTAGAAAACTATTCATATTGTAAAAAAAATGTGATAATCTATAAAAATAACCCACTTAAAAATAGGAATAAAGAAGATGACCAATTAAAGTGTTATTATACTAAAGGTTTACTTTTTAAAGGATCTCAATGCTTCCATTTTTAATTCGTTAAGGAAAAACTACTTAATTTTAAAATGTTCACACTCTGACTATAGCTGCCATGCAACTCTACTCTCTAAAATGATGCTGCTTATGAAATACTCATTGAAGCTGTATTCGTTTCTTATTCCTACTGTAACAAATTACCACAAACTTAGTGGCTCAAAATGACAAATTCATTGTCTTACAGTTCTGCAGGTCAAAATATGAAACAAGTCTTGAGGTGCTGAAATGAAGGTGTCAGCAGGGTTGTGTTCCTTCTAGAGGCTCAAGAGGGGGATCCACCTCCTGCCTTTTCCAGTTTCTGGAGGTTGCCAGCATTCCTTGACCTGTCTGTCTGTCTGACCTCTGCCTATCATCACATTCCCTTCTGTGACTCTGACCTTCCTACCTCCCCCTTCTAAGGACACTTGTGATTATTCCAGGCTTATCCAGATCATCCAGGATAAAGTCCCCATCTGAAGATCCTTAACTTAATCATATCAGCAAAGTCCCTTTTGCCACGTAAGGTAAACAAAGTAACTGATTCCAAGGACTAGGATATAGACATCTTTGGAGAGCTGTTCTACCTACCACAAAATTAATCACAAACAGGGGAGGTTTTCCTTTATTTCATCTACTCTGAGAGTATTTAGGAAACTGTATCAATTAATATTGATCCAGAAGTTGTTACTGGTTTTGACTTATGAGGAGATAACCTTGACACTCCAAGGAAAAGTTGATGAGCTAATAAAATTTCAGTCCCAAAGACTACTTAAACACAGTCTTCCCACAATGGGAAAAAGAACAGCTTGAAAGATTTGTTCCTTGTTTTGGTTCCCAGAAAACCCACGATGCTAAAGTCATGTGAGGAAAAAAATGATTTTTTCAGGAAAAGAAGCAACATTAAAAGGTAAGAGACATTTAGAGAAATGGTAAATTATTATAATAAGAACAAATCTGATATAAAACAAATGCATTTGCCAACCCATCCGTATGTGCCATGCTCTTCCATCCATCCAATGCCTTTGTGTATATTCCTTCTTTGGCCTCCTTCCTCTGCGAGCTGTCTCCTATCTATATGTGCTACAAGTGACAGCTCTGCATACTCCAAGCTAATATAAATAAGCCTCTTCTGCATTTCTGCTCTGCCCTCTTACAGCCTACGTTTAGTATAGAAACCCTCCCTGCTCTGAAGCCTTTATGACATGGGTTCGGCTCTAACCAAGAAAAGGCACTGCCTTGTGTTTCCCTCTGCTCCAAATGCCATGCAAAGTTCCAGGAACATAGTAGGTGCTCAGTTGGTCTGTTAGAAAAATTAATTAACCAAATCTAAAAGACAGTTCATCAAAGACTTCTGTAAAGGAGAAAAGATGGCTTTAAACATTCTCATGCACGTTTCTTTAGTTCTAAAGTTATCAAAAGGGTTCTTCCTTAGATTGCAAACCTTTAAAGGTTTTACCAACTCCTGTGTGAGCTTAAAGAAAAGAGCTTGGTTTAAACTACCCAGTCATGTGATAAACAGACACTATGATGCTCCCATTCCACGCTCAGTTTAATGCCCTCACCCTGTCTCACCACTCATCTAAAAGAGAGTTTTCATGGGAGAAGAGGAGAGCAATCTTTAAGAAATCCGATGTAACAGGATTGTAAATTCAAAGTTTCAACCAGACACCAAGACACACGAGTATGACGTTCCAGACTGACGTCCCAGACCAACACCCACATTTTCAATGAAATCCCCCAAAGCCAATTATATGACTCTTAAATCTAATTGCTGCTACACTGAAGATTATAAATGCACCTACCTGTTAAAGACCAAGAGAATTTCAGAGAGAGGGGTTTCTTTTGAGACTATGTCACTTGACCTCAGGTCAAGAGAGTGAGGCCTCCCAGAATCACCTGAAGCTTAATAGTGTCTCTTCAAAAAAGCCAAGCAGAGACAGACCGGGGGCTTCCCTGCTGACAGGGAAGCCGGGGTCAGCCCGCACCCACGGAGTCCCTCGTGGGAAATGCGGGCCAAGCACCAGGGAGAGTAAGCATAGGGTTGTCTGGACGCTGACTGGTAAAATGGGACCGCGTTTGACAATGGAACACAACCAACCGCAAGAGTGAACAGACAAGCCATCGGACTAGAATCTCCCCTGGGGAGTAAATTCAAAAAATACATTCGTTTTCTGACTCCAGACCACTCACTGCTTGTTACGTGTACTCGTTACACACATTTCCTCCCCGTTTGAGGGTCTTCCCAAAGCCTTGTCCTCCAGCTGGGAAGGAAAGACAGAATTCTCTCCGAAGTTTAGGTAACCATGCTCCCAGTGGGCAACTGGAGACTAGGGCCTGCTTATTTAAGAGCATTCAATACAAACATATTGAAGAAAAAACTGATCATTTTCTCCCAAATGAAGCATCCATAAACAGAAACAGAAAATCCATTTTGCTCCATAATCAATGTCACCTTAGAAAAGTAAAAGGCAGGGAGGGAGGAGGGACAGGGAAACACCCATGACTCTTACCCAGGCCCTGATTCTGCTGTTCCCACTCAATGGTGTCTGGCACCTGGTAGGTGGCTCCCTCCAGAAGGTCCACATTTTCCGGCTCTAAGCCAGGCTCCTGGGATGTGACGCCAGGTAGGGTAAAGCCACGCAGCTCAGTGTCACCATCCAAGCTTTCATCCAGGGAGTCTGCATCTTTATCTTCTTCATCTTCCTCCTCATCTTCCTCTTCTTCATCTTCCTCCTCCTCGTCCTCTTCATCCTCATCTTCTTCTCCCTCTGGACAAAAAGAAATCAATGAGAAACATGAAGAAATACAGTGACTGCAACAAAATCCTATAAAATGAACCAAACACTACAAAATAATCATACTTAGCCACTTCAAACAAATTTGATAGCCAAGTTCGGCAATGTGAGTTTTGTGGAATTTTGTGCCCATAACTTTTTTAAAATTTTTTATTTAGTTTACGGGGTGACATTGGTTAACAAAGTCATATAAGTTTCAGGCATACGATTCTATAATACGTCATCTGTATATCGTACTGTGTGTTCACTACCCAAAGCCAAGTCTCTGTCCATCACCATTCGTCCCCCCACTTTACCCTCTTCTACCTGCCCCCAGACCCCCTTCCCTCTGGTAATCATCATACTGTGAGGAGTTATTTTTTGTTTAATCCCTTCACCTTTTTCACCCAGCCCCGCAATCCCGTCCCCTCTGACAGCTGTCAGTCTGTACTCTGTATCTATGAGTCTGTTTCTATTTTGTTAGTTTATTTTATTCGAGTCCACATATAGGTGAAATCATATAGTATTTGTCTTTCTCTCACTGGCTTATTCCACTTAGCACAATGCTCTCCAGGTCCACCCATGCTTTTGCAAAGGGTAAGATTTCCTTCTCTTTTACAGCTGCATAGTATCCATTGTGTAAATGTACCACAGCTTTTTTATCCACTCATCTACTGATATATGCCCATCATTCGCCTACATTTTAAACTTTTAAAATCACAGTGATGTCAGATAATTATTATGTATCATGCTTATTTGGAGTCAAAGTTCATATAATATGATTTTTTCTTAGTTGTCTTTATATTTACAAGGGTGGGAAACAACCCCTTCCTGTTTTCTGGAGGTCATTAAAGAGTTACCCATTGGAAAGCACACTGAATTGGGAACAGAATTTAAAGGGAGGGTCCCAATCCCTTTATATCTTCTAACGCTAACCAAGAGAATTCATTATGGTGGCACAATTTTCTTTTCATTCTTCTGCATCAGTGAGCAGAACTCACAGCCATGATAAGTGAGAGGTACATAAATCCACTCCTGAAACTTCTGTTTACAGAGGAGTCACCCAAGAAACTGGAAACAATTACCTGAACATTCTAGTCCAACTTGAAAGGGAATTTGGAAATGGGATATTGATTAAGGACACTCAGAAAAGCAACACGGTTGCTTTTTGTTACTGTCATCACAAAAGTTAAATTCACAATTTGCAATTTTCAATGCTTCAAGTGGAGTAGGTTTAGGGAACATAGATCCCCCTTTTAATTTTGTTTCAACAATTTTAGTTTTCTAGGAATACTCTGAGGCACACCCTCACCACAGAGGGACCTCTGCAGCCACTGAGGCATCCCGAGACCCTCCTTTGCTGCTTTGAGACAATTCTCCACATGTATCCCTTTCCATCAACCATGCACAAGGTATTTTTTTTTAACTTTTAAAAAAGTATTACATCTAATCTTTTTCATTCCTATCCTGTTAACTTTGTAGGACTAACACCTGCCACTATTCCAAAAATTCAACAAATATTTATCAAGCACCTAGTTCCACATGGTTGGGATAGAGCAATAGTGTCTCTGCCTTCATGGAGCTGATAGGCCACTCACAGCAACAAATGAAAAACAGACAGATACATGTATGACACGAATTACACTCCGATTAAAACTAGCAAACAGAGAGAAAATGCCAGATGCTGCTATTTTAGGTGGGGAACTCAAGGAAAGCTTTTGTGATCAGGGAACGTTTGAACAGAAATCATACCAGAATAATGAATTCTCTTGTTTAATTTGGGTTCATTTAGGAAGAGCATTCCCAGCAGAGGGAAACACAGGCAACAGAGAGGATAAAAGCCTTGAGGCAGATTGTTGTAATCAAAGAATGGGAAAGCGAGGGTTGGGGGTGAGGGCGGGGGTAGGGGTGGCCGGCAGGGAGGGACAGACAGAGTCTTAGGAAATGAGGAAGAAGAGATAGGCAGAGGCCCGATCTGACATATTTATAATAAATGATTCTGGCTGCAGGGTGCAGAACAGGCTGTAAGACAACAAGAGACAAAATAGGGAGACCCATTCAGAGGCTGTTTCAAAACTTAGGGGACAGAGGATGGTGCTGTGGGGAGGGTGTCGTCCTGGATGTGGGGGGAGCTGGTCTGATCCGGGATGTAATATGAAAGTACAGCCCTGATGATAAATTTTCCTGTGGAATGTGGGAGGAAGATCGCACTTTACCAAAAACGGGACTAAGGGATTAAGAGCAAAATCAAGGATTTTACTTGAGACAATACTTGTGTGATGGCTTTGCCTACAACATTCCAATGAAAGTATTGGAAGCCTAAGGGAGGTCAAAGCTACAGATAAAAATCTAGGAGTCATCAACTTATAAGTAATGTTTAAAGCCTTAAGACCGGCTGAGATCCCCAAGAGGATGAGTGTTGGGAGAAAGGGAAGAGGTCCAGCAGGAGCCTGGGCAATCCAGTATTTAGGAGTTGGCCAGTAGAGGGAGATGCAGCAAAGGAGACGGAAGGGACCGCTGCGGGGGGCGGGGAGGGGGGGCGACAGAACCAAGGCCCGCGGTGCTGCCCGGGAAGCCAAGTGAACAAAACAGCTCTGAGGGGCTGAGTGAGAAACTGAGAATGTCCATCTGGCTTGGACATGACCTCTGCCTTTGACCTTTTGGAGGACATTAGTGACCTTGACAAACGTTGTTTCCATGAAATGGTAGGGACAAAAGAAGTCCTGGAATGGTTGAAAAGAAAATGAGAAAATGAAGTTAGTAGACACAGCAAATATAACTCTTACAAGAAATTCAAAAAAGGGGGGGCCACTTGGGGTCAGCTGAAGGGAGATATGAGGTCACGGGTAGATTCTTAAAATAGAAGATAGTATTAAGTTGACAAAAAGATCTGGTAGGGAGGAGGAACCTGATGATGCAGGGAGAGGGGAGACAGCTGCAGGAGGAATGTCCTGAGACGAGAGGTATCCCTCAGCAGTTACACCGGCGGCCCCAGGGCCACACACACTGGCCACAGCCGGGCATTTTGGAAAGGGCACTAAATTTGGTGTGCCCCCGCTGCCTCTTCTGTAAAACTGGTGTGATTCCTACCTCACAGGGCTGTTGTAAGGATTTCATTAGTTAGTATACAAGGTATTTAGAACTAAGCCTTGCACACAGTGGCCACTCCGCAAGGTTGGCTGCTTTGCTCCCACTGCACGGGACGGAGCTAGCGCGCGGGCTGCGGCAGGCGCCTCCTCCCTGCCGCGGGCGCGGGTGCGCGTGGGCGGGGGAGGGGTAGATTTGGTGATGGCAGAATGTGAAAGTTATCTTCCCATTTCTTTTATTTTCTCCGTCAAATTTTTTAAAAAGCTGAAAAAGGAAAGAGAAATGTTGGTGATTTTAGACAAGAGGAGAAAGCGTGAGTCATTTTGAAACAGGGGCGAGCAAATTCTCCGGCAACAGGCGACAGCCCCAGGGCCCCCTCGGGCTGTGACAGCGTAAGTGTGAAGTGAGGCAGGTTAAGGTGCTTGTGCGTTTTTCTCCAGCCACATTCAGCTGCTTGGGTGCAGGCGCGGGTGGACGGGTGGAGTGAGCAGAGAGATTTTAACCAGTGGCAAATTTTGCCAAAAGCGCTCACCTGGGGAGGGGTTGGGAACAGGGGTAGTTGACTGAGCGTGAAGCTAATGATTATAAAGATGGACCAGGAAACAGGTACAAGCTCTCGGCAACAAGAAAATAAGAATGGGGATCTAATGTACAACATGGTGACTATAGTCAGCAATACTGTATTATGTACTTGAAAGCTCTTAGGAGGGTATATCTTAAATGTTATTAGCACAAAAAAGTAATAGCGTGAAGGGATGGAAGCTAACTAACCTTACTGTGGTGATCATTTTGCAATATAAACATGTATCAAATCATCACATTGTACACCGTAAAATTACACGTTATATGCAAATATCTCAATAAAGCTAGAGGAGAAAACCGATGGACAGGGGATTCTTCTTAAAGAGAAGTTTAGTAGGACGTTGGATAGAGAAAAAGTAATGGGGTCATTGGATTAGAGAGCAAGTTATCATCAAGACTATTTCATGGGTTTGCTGACCTCCCTCCTATGGACAAAAATTGGTCATAGGCTTTAAAAAATTACTTGTAAAGCATTAAAAAATCATTTTTAGTGACCTGTCCTCTCCACAAACCCAAGAGGGCTGTACTTGACAGAGTAATTGTGACAACATGATGCGGATTCCCTGGGAATGCAAAGGCAGAGCCAGAGCTCCGCGGCCTGAGCCTTCAGCCCTCGTCACTCACCCGCTGTCTTTCGACCACTATCACCCCCATAGGCTACTCCTACTTTGTCCTCAGTGTGTTAGGCTAATTCCTTCTCTTCAAAGTACAGAGCTTTATGATCTGGCAATCCCACTTCTGGGTATATATCCAAAGGCAACGAAATCTTTATCCCAAAGACATAGCTGAACTCCCATGTTCATAGCAGCATTATTCACAATAGCCAAGGTATGGAAACAGGCTAAGTGTCCCTCAATAGATGAATATATATTCATGTCTATATCCCATATATCTGTATATAATGTATATACAGATATATGATGAAATATTATTCAGTCTTTTAAAAAAAGGAAATTCTGTCATTTGCAACATGGATGAACCTGGAAGAAAGCGTTATGCTAAGTAAAGTAAGTCAGGCAGCGAAAGAAAAATACCAAATGATGTCACTTATATATGGAATTTTTTTAAAAGTCTAACTCATAGAAACAGAGTAGAAAAGTGATTGCCAGGGAGCAGGGTGTGAGGCTGGTAAAAGCATAGAAACGTTCAGCTCTGAAATGAGTAAGGTCTGAGGACCTAATGTAAAACACAGTGACTGCAGTTGATAACACTGTATTGTAGAATTGAAATGTGCTGAGAACAGGACTTAAATGTTCTCACAAAATAAAAGGGAAATATGTGAGGTGATGAATGTGTTAATAAATGCAATGGTCAAAATTCAGAAT